TGCTTCCTCCTGTCTCTATAGGTAAACATTTTATAACTTTATTAAGTATCCTTTCAGCATTTCTTTATGCGCATATGTACATATCTTTTTATTTTCACACTTTTTTTTACAAAAAGATAAAATATCATACATCACTCTATGTCTTCCCTTCTTCACACTATAGCGTTTAAAAATATTTCCATATTGGGGGTGGAGGAGAAGGCAGCAATAAAAAATAAAAAAATAAAAAATTTTCCATATTAATATATAGAAAGCTTTTTTTAACAGCTGCTTAGTATTCCATTGGACTATTAACTAGTCTCTTATAAATGAGCTCATTTGAATAGCCCTGTACCTAGATCAATTTTTACATATGCAGTATATCTTTGGTATGAATTTCCAGAAATGGAATTGAAATTGCTGTGTCAAAGAGTAGATAGGTGTAATTTTGATAGGTATTTTTCAAAGAAATTTTCATTTTAACTTTCTGTTTTGAATGATTTCAAATCTTCAGAGGAGTTGCAAGAATTGTACAAAGAACTGCATCTTCTTTACCCAGATGCACCTATCATTAACATTTTATATTTTGATGAATTTCCTTTATCACTTGTGTGTGTGTGTGTGTGTGTGTATACACATATATATGTATGTGTGTATATATATATATATACACATATATATGTATGTGTGTATATATATATACACATATATATGTATGTGTGTATGTGTGTGTGTATATATATATATATATATATACACACACACATGTATTATGTAGATGTATCTATAGGCCAGATGCATGGTTCACTCCTGTAATCCCAGCACTTTGAGAGACTGAGGCGGGTAAATTACTTGAGGCCAGGAGTTCAAGACCAGCTTGGCCAACATGACAAAACTCCATCTCTACTAAAAATACAAAAATTTTCAGCTGGGCATGGTGGCACGTGCCTGTAATCCCAGCTACTCAGGAGGCTGAGGCAGGAGAATTGCCTGAACCCAGGAGGCGGAGGTTGCAGTGAGCCGAGATCGCGCCATTGCACTCCAGCCTGGGTAACATGAGTGAAACTCCGTCTCAAAAAAAAAAAAAAAAAAAAAAATTAGCCAGGCATGGTAGCCCACACCTAAGGATGAGGCACGAGAAATACTTGAACCAGGGAGGCAGAGGTTGCAGTGAGCTGAGATCGTGCCATTGTACTCCAGCCTGGGTGATAGAGCAAGACTCTCAAAAAAATTTAAAAAAAATTTTTTAAGTTTTTAAAAGAGATGTATCTATATCTATCTATCTATATATATATTTGCATATACACCAAGTGTGTACATATATATATTTGTGTGTATGTATACACACATATTTTTATTTTTATGAATCATTTGAGAGTAAGTTGTAGGAATCATGGTACTTTATTCCTAAACACTTCATTGTGTATTTCCTAACAAGGACATTCTTTTATTTTATTTT